ATGCAAAAACCAAGGAAATAGCAGGCCATTTTTCCAGAGGGAGGAACAGGGAAACTCTGAAAATGGACATTAAAATGAATACGCACTTTGCGATTGACAAACAAAGCAAGCCCTCCTATCCAGGCCATTGAAACTTGTCTGACAAACCCGACCATCCCACTTGATGGCAAGGTGCAGCCATCTTATTTCGGATGCTGGTTAAAAGTACAGAGAGGTGGCGGGACTGGAAACACGGCAGTTACCCAGATCGGCATGAGCGATGGAGGCGCATAGAACATAGTTAAGTGTGCCTAACGTACCATAACTTGAAAGTACATGTTGTCCAACCTGACTAGCACGTAGTAGCCCTCCTAACTCTGAGGTTAACTAGTCGAAGCAAAGCAAACAAAATTCAATGTAATCTTGACCGAATGACATGCAGTAATTGAATGATGTTTAAATGCTGGATGATTTAAAAGCCCAAAGCTCAGATGGACATCTTGATAAGGTATGACTCAGAGAAGCGATGTACTCAGCGGTCATTCGCACGCTACTTGTGTCTGAAACGTGACACAGTGATCTCAAGGAATTTACTTGCTTCGTTTTCGTTAAATAAAAAGCGGAAGCTTATCTATGAAGCGGTGCCTGAAAAGAGTATAAAAACATTTGTACCGGGTTAGTTACTAAGGCATTCTCAACCCACCGTGCTCATCAGACTGAAAAGTTAGTAGCAAACTCACTGTTGTGAAGATGGGCTTGTCTGGTTGCCCCAGTGACAAAAGATAAGCTGAGCCGTTGCCCTGTAGGGTTTTGAACTCATAGTCCCGTGGTTCAAGTCCAAGTTACAAGTTGTGTGTACATCAGCCCACCCCACCTCCACCAAAAGTCACTCATAAATTAAAGATTACAGCATGACTGACCAAACACAGTCCAGCAGCAATGACGATTGCTAGACAAGAAACTTGACTAAATTCAACTTGGATCTGCTGCTAAAAGAGATATCAGTCCACGCTGAAATAATTAGAAACATCGTGCAGCCTTTCACTCTTTCACCTGAACTGAAGATGGTAAGCATATCTTGGAAAGCTTGAGTGCCATGTGAAATGCGGTCAGCTGGTTTATGAATCACAGCATCGTAGAATATGTTATGTATGTAGGGCTTGACATTATAGTGAGCATCCCAGGCGGTATATGATATCGCAGGGGCAGCGCCTACACATACACTTATGCATAGCACCAATGAGCTGGTACGGTGGTGGATTCTTCCTCATAAATGATATACCAGGCCACTGTGATGCCTCGGTGGGATCGCAGAAAGTTATAAAGATGCTGATAAGACTTTAGTGCTTTAGTTTAAACTAGGGTCGAGGCAGCTGGCCTTTTTCCTGGACGCAGTAATATGGTTAAAAGACAAACAATAAAGTCACGATGTACACTCATTTGCATAGTAATTTGGGAGGATAATTCGGATGACTTAACCGAATCCCGGCTGAATTTTCCGTTTATGACAGTTAAAGACGCTGTAAAAGGTCGCTTAGTGATTCAGTTGGGACGACATTTGAGATACCATGTCACATTGAATCGAGAAAACGCGCCACTCGCAAGGTTGCTGTGGGCGTTTTGATAAATCTTATAAGTAGTGAGTTACTTCTAAAATATAAAACCCCTAGAACGCTAAATTTTGGCGCACAACGTCTTCATTGCATCGGATTGATGTAAAGGAGAGTGGGACATGGGAAACCTTGAATTTGGAACCAAGCACAATGCAAACGAAAAGAGAGAGAGTCCCGGGACGAGTGGCAGACACAACCTTGTGCTCTCAAAAGCCCGACTAATCATCACAATATCGTCAACCATTGCCAGCAAGCACGTCGAACATCTGGGAGACGAGTTACAGGTCAGGGGACAGAGGTCAGAGGTCAACCCAAAAGCATGCAATCCATGCTGCGTTTTACATAATGACGTCCTGTGACGCAAACGCATGTGGCCATTTAATGGTCAATAAACTGGACAGTACTTGCACGGCCCAGTTAGTATTCACTGTGTTGTTCCATGGTGCCCAGAACTCACGATTTTACTAATCCAGCATAATGTCTACGAGTGAAACCCACGAAATTCTATTCGTTTAACATAAATGATTAAAGCTAAATTATCCCCTGCGTACGAGCTTGGAAATATGGCATATCTCATTGTACAAACAGCAATTCTCAGCACATAAACTTCTTAGGTAATAAGCTGTTACCCAATTCAAGCAATCCAATCCTCCCGAAGGACCTAAAAGGATACCGCACACAAAATATTAAACTTTTGACAGAAGGTTTCAGAACCAGCAAAGCGTTGGTTCGTAGAAGTCAGCTGTCAGTCGGTCATATAACCAGCTTGACCGTATCCGTGTTCGGTGGCATCCGGTTCACACCAGCTGTCAGCAGACGCCCTTATCATAGTGTGTACTCTTGGGTGCCGCACTGTTCTGTTTGTATGATGCAACTTCCGCACAGCTCTGCTTGGTTTTCTCTCTCTGGTAGTTACTGGACTGGGCATTCAGCAACACGCTAGCGATTATGGCACCTAATTCCCCTCACAAGTTATGGACGCTGAAACAAGAGTTGTCAAGCGTACCTGCTGGTCTCTTACCTCATAAGTATGGAAAGCGTAAATTAAACAAACATACACCAGTGCATACAATGTAGGCGAACTTGTAGGTTCGTGATCATCATTACAGCAAACAGAACATCAATGTTACTAGCGTGTACTCGGTAAGTCCCTGAGAGCTGATATGGAAGAGACCTGGTACTGGACTACCAGAATCATTCTTAAGCATAAACAACTCCAAAATCACCCAGAAAATCTGGCTAGAAATTGACAACATGAAGACGTAAACGCTGTTTAGCCACAATATTTTGCAATATCTCCGGCCGATTGCACTGAGATTCATGTGCATCGCATTTTAAAAAGCGGGTTAAACTGTCAGCACCCAAACAAATCGCAGCCTCCCTCATGCACTTGTGCCAAGACAAAGCCTCACTTCCCTTGACACCAACAGTAGTTTTATTCGGAAATGACCGGTATAGTCCTATTTGTTTATACTAGAATCGATGTACAAGCACCGGAAAATTCAATACCTCCTTGGTATCTATCTCTGAGTTCAGAGTTTTGGCCTTATTCCGCATTCGTCTAATTCATACCGAATACCACTTAACAAACCAACCCCTGTGAGTAATAAGTATGTCCTACAGAGCCTGTGCCTCCTCTTTGTCTTCAGAAACAGGAACGATATCGTCTGCATTCTTTGTACTGTTAAGTTGAACACGAGGGTTTTGAAGACCCTTTAGTCCACCCCCTAAGCAGCCCTCAGACATATCCAACATTATCGATCCTTTCATCCTTCTATCTCCTAAAATCGGATGTCCAGTTTGCCCGGTTTTGCCAGGTATCTGATAATGCTTCGAGCTCTGCCTCTGGCCGGTGTAGTTGCGATCAGGGGAAATATGCGCTCATTCCTCCAGCACAGTGACGGTCTTAATAGGGATCCAATGTATGGATGAAGCTGACCGGACTGTATCGCTTCAAGGATACAGTACCCCATCCCCATGCCACCTCGAAAAATGCTACGAACTCCAATGTATCAGACAGAGAAGTCTCACTATGGAGGAACGAATATCATAGAAGGGCGACGTGTTGCAGGTCGGCTAACCAGCACTGGAAATACAGCTATGAATAAATTATTTGGTTTTGAGTTTCATGAACGTCTCAAGGGCCAGGCAAGGCATGCAAATTCCGCGGACACGCGAAAAGCGCCGAAGAGTGCATGGATGGAATCCACATCGGGCTTTCAGAAATAATACCAGGGCGTTATCGAACCTCGCCATTGGTAACCAACGGTAATGTGGTCCGCTGATGGACAATCTTTAACCGCACGATTTCCGGAAACTGCAGTTGAGGTGCCTGACACGCACACAGCCGTAACAGACATATACTACTGCTCGTGCACCTGGCATCGAATCCCCAGTACGACCACCCAACTGAACCCGAACAGTGCCAACCCTACGCGCTTACACCTACATTGCACCACTGACCTTGTAACGTCTGAACGCTTATCCCTTTACAGAAAAGTATTTGGATCCTCATGAAAGCTGTTAGTTGCACACTCCGAGTGGCAGTTCCGTTGCGATGTTAATTGGTGAGCTGGCATCTGTCGAAGCACGCACGCAATGAGCGACGGCGCATGCTACTTTTACCCATTTGTCGGTGCAACCAGGTAAACGGCTTTTATCCGGTGTAAATCTGGAGAATAATATCGGATGATAACAGTTACCAAGCTATCACTACGTCTAGCTGATGAACTATAACTGTCAAACCATGTGGCGATAGTAAAATGCCGGGAACCACAGTGGAAGCGAAAGGCAGCATTGTAGTTCGTGCCACTCATAAGACGCAGCCAAGACACAAAACTCCTGCTAGCGTTGGGTGGTTAAGAATCAATTTGAGCTTTCCGACCGTGACCAGAGAACATCGCTTCTCTCATCATCGCACACCTGGCCCTACGATATATCCAAAATTAGCAGTGTCGGGGGGTTTCGTTGGTCGCTGATCGGTGGTTGATTTAGGCGATTAACTCGCAAGCGTCTGCTACCAAACGAGAAGAAATCGACGGTGCGCTGTTGAGTATGCTTGCATTTTTATAGCTTTGAAAAGTATCTGCTATCCAGTTAACGGCCAGTTGGGCTCATTGGTCTCTTTATGATTTGTGTTGAGTCATGGTCAACCTTCCTTAGGTTCGATTGGTTATCCCGATGGTCTCTACTTTTAGTAGATGTGTCTGACATGTCTCGAGTTTGGGCTGTCTTGTGGACTGATTATCTTTAGTTTAATTGCCTGGATGTGGTGTCCCGTTCCTGCTTGAGCCAGTTAATTAGACGCCCCCAGTTTGTTCCTTTGACTTATTGTGCGCATACCTTAATCACATTTATTCGTCAATCTGACTCAGGTTTCCCTGATTCTTCTACAATTTTTCCATCTAGTTAATTATGCAGTTCCGAACGCCATAGTTCTGGAATTTCTGGTCTACGTGGTGTATAAATTGGCGCAATTGCTTTGTTACTGGTGTCCCCGTCGGAGTACCATAAACCCATACATTCACATTCTTTATGATTACTTGAGTCATCATATGAACGTCATTCCAGTCGAATTCACGTCCTTCCTGGTCCGTGCGCAGGGATATGAGGACAAATCGATCATGTCGTTTAGCGGCAAGTTTGCGTTCATGTTCCCCGATAGAGTCTCCTTGCCGTTTATCCTATATGACGTACATTGTAATCACAGCGTGGAATCTCATACAACACACGATTCTTCATCAACAGATTCAATTTTCCGTTCGATTCTGATAGCTTCCACAACCTATTCGCAGGTACGTATGCAACTGTATGCAATAATAAAAGTCCTACAGTGCATTTCAGTTGTGCTCTCGGCATACAGAAGTGTGATTGGTTTACCTTCCCTTTGTGTTGTTGTGTTAGTTGTACTCAGCCATCTGGATAACCCTCAAGTATTTTTTTGATATCCATATCAGTCGTTGATTCTATAGTATTGCGGCTTTCCCCAATCCACTTGAAATGTGTCCGAATGCAGTTCTGTTTGTGATAATTTGGATGCTTGTTGTGACAGCTTAGAATTTGGTCTGTATGTGTCGCCTGCTGTAGACTTGTTTGTAGTTGTCCATTTGATAATCTAGTAATGGAACTATCCATAAATGCCAGTTATCCGTTTTCCTCTTTTTTAGTGTTCTCGATACGGACGCGTAGGTTCGACAACCCCGAATAGCAGAAAAAGAAACGGGTTCGTAATTCTATGGTACTATTTACAGAAGGGTAAGCACCTGTGTGCAACAAACCTCAATTGTTCGTACCGTCAACAAATTCAAAGGTCTGTCACTGACCGGCACAATTCAGTGTCAGCGTCCGCACACCAAACAGAGGCAAGCGGAATGATGGCTCATTGGCGTGGGTTGCGGTCGCTCTTTCCGACGACAGTCTCGTGATTCTAAGTGGACGTGCGATCACACGGAACTTACGAGAAAACAAGTCAAGGCAGGCTCAGCAAACGGAACATGAACGCCCATGGGTAAGTAGGTACGCGGCGCACATTCACACAGACACACGTGCCAATACACAAGTGTCGGATAGGACGGCCTCTGCGGCTAGGTGAGTGGCGCGCACGGATAAGCAAAACAACTGGACGTCAAAAGTACATAGACGGAGTAAGCAAATGAATGGGAGAATTATCACAAGGACAAGTTAGATTCAACACTTCGTTCACTGTGAAAACGTTGCTCAGTAACCGGCCTTTCATTTTATTTGATGATGACATAAATATCGTCCATGTGGCCGACTCGTGTTTTAGAGCTTATGTTGGGTAATACAATTCGCTCTCGCTTTTGCATTGTGATTTTGTGATAAATCCTGAAAGCAGAGACCTAATCGGTCTTCCTTGTTTTTGTTCGTACTAGACACTTGATTTAATGGTGTTCTAAGCGGCAATATGCAGTTATCTTTGAGTGGAGCTTTTGTTTTAATGAACTAGTCAGGTTTGTCCATGATCCTCGTTGGGCGCTTTTTTCCAGATGTTCCCAGTCTTCTTCAGTCTGACCATTGCTTATTTTTCTTCTCCCAAAAGGGTGCTGAATGTTTTGTTGCATATTATGGCCAGAATTACGGTTTCCCATAGTTGCTGAGCGTTCTCGTCGAGCCCTTTAGATTTCTTTGCAGATTCCAGGTTGGCTAAATACTCAACGTTTGTGGTATCTTTGTAACTGTATTCATTGGTGAGAATAGTTTGTTCTGCTTGCTGCGTTGTTCATCGAAACGTCCTCTTGATTGTCACTGTTCTTCTGACTCCCAATCGACCTGGAAAATTTATTTTTACGATAAGCCTTTTTGCTCTTGGTGGTGGATGTAGCTCCCCGATCTACTGCTATACTGAGTTGCCCCAGAATCTCCGGCCCTATTGCCTTGAAGCACGACCCTCTACTTCGATTGGCTATTAGCTATTATCCTGATGCGATTGTGTGTGCTTGTAACCACGATTCTAAGCATCCGTTTACCATTCTACCTGGCTAGTGTCCAAGTGTGTGAATGTTTCACTGTTGCCTGAAAGGCTGATAACTGTTCAGCTGTAGCACTCTTTCGGCACCTAAACGCTATGCCACCGAAAGGAAGGTGAATGCTGGGATATTTCCAGGTCACCCCATCCAAGACAGGGGAAGTCCAGATGCAGAAATCGGATTCGAACCACGGACCTTCCGATCAATAAATTCTCGCCTTAACCACTGAGCCATCTCATCCCATTTTCACAAGCTGATAGACGAGCTCGATTTACAGGCCGACTGACATCTGATCGACAACCAATAAAAATACCAATTGTTTGCCTATGAGACGTTCAGAAAGAGTCCGAGAGCGAGTCAGAACAGAGCCCAGGTTTTCGAGGATAAGCAACGTTTCACTTGTCTAAGAACAAGCGTACATGAGCTGAAATGTACATACAAAAGTTCAGTACAAGTATATATGGTAAGTATAAGAATAAGCACACAAAATCATGACATTCACCCCGACAGCGTTTGAATAGGCACATATGAGCTGACGTAGACAGGAAGTGATGTACTGAATCAAGCTGCTCTGTTTCTCAAACTATAAGGATGAATGCGTCGCTCTTGTTCTAGAATCCCAGGATAACTCGGTTGGTGTTCGGAGGACGGTACAGAAGAAGATTCAGATGCTTGAGAGCTATCGGGCTGACGTCCGGTTAGTTCAGTCGTATCTGGGTGTTCGGTATCCTCGTTGGTTTCAGACAGATTGAGAACATTGTCAGTTGTATTCTGAACCGCCGGGGCTAGACGGCGAAGGGACACGGTTTCGACTCTTCCGTCTCGATGAGCAATGTGTGCGTAGTGTGGGTTGCAGTTCAGAAGGTCAACTTCTTCTACTAGTGGTTGGTACTTGGATGACCTATCACCTCGTTGCAGCAGAACTGGACCAGGGGTGGTCAACCAAGATGGCAACGATATTCCAAATGTTGATCGACGTGCGTATTGGAACAAACGTTCGTGTGGAGTACAATTAGTGACTGTACATAACAATGATCGGAGGCTGTGTAGAGCATCAGGGAGTACTGATTCCCAACGGGAAGGCGGGAGATTGTGAGATTTCAGCGCTGAGCTTATTGTTTTCCAGAGAGTACCGTTGAGACGCTCAACTTGACCGTTACACTGTGGATTATAAGCTGATGTATGACTCATAGCAACACCTTTCTCCAGAAGAAAGCTATTGATCTCAGACGACATGAACGATGAGCCTCTGTCGGAATGGATATAGGCTGGCATTCCGAACAGACAGAAGATCTGTGTGAGACAGTCAATCACAGTTGCCGAGGTCATATCACACAAAAATCACGACAGCCTAGCTCTTCTGAAACAATATCCAGTGAAGGTAATCATGAGTAGACATACGCAAAAAATACAATACAGTAAAGTAGAATTCAGTGTAGTTGGAGGCAAAGAAACAAAACGAGCTAGCAACGAAAGGAAACAGACAACCTGAGGACCCAAACCAGGTGCGCAAAGTAGCGAGCTGCATGGTGGTCCAGTAGGTTTGGGCGATGGTGGTTCTCTGGGCACCAGCAAGAGCCGTTGAAATAATGTTCGTAGACCTATGGAGGGCAGTTATAAACGGTTCGACTGAGTCCTCTTAGGATATGGTTTTAAAATCTACAACGTTCACCAACAGAAAGTGCTCACCCATGGTAATGACTTTCTTTTCAAAGTGCACAATGCCATTAGACCTGCCATAGATCACATGACTGTTCGTTAATTTGCTTAATAGAACTGGGTGAGAAACTCACTGATTTACCGTATATTTATGCATGCAGGCCTATCGATAGTAGCCGAAAAACGTAACGAAAAAAATAGAGTTCACTAAGATGAGGTTAATTGTGACTCGCCAAAAATCGACGAGGCAATTATGGATATAGCTAACTTGACCTTCCTTCGCGGACTCGTTAAGAGAGGGGGGCAGTGCCACAAAGTAAACGCGCATTCAACAAATCCCGCAACCGCCTGTAACTAACCCAAATTTGTTCAGCATGTTTCAAGCAGCTGTGGCGCTACCTGAATGGAAAATTGTGGCAGGCGGCCAAGCGATCGACATAACGAGCGTAGTCACTGGGTCACCATTCGAGCATTCCGGCCAAACCATCACATCACTCAAGCGTGAACAGCCTGGTATGTGCGATATGTAAGTGCCAGTGATATGCTTGATGATGACGCGAGTGACGGAACTTACCAAACATAATTGGGGCTTTCGAGATTCTTGCACTGAATTCATCAGACACATTGCCACCAAAGACAATACAACTACTGATGTATGCACAATTCTCCAAAACTTTCATCAATTCTTGAATTGTAAGGCATATGTTCTGAGACTGCACGCCCCGCAACATGACTCTGAAGGTCCAAAGCGCATGCCGAAAGATGGTATGGAGGTGACCAGACTACTCAGCAGGAGTAGCAATGCGCCTTCGTCTTCAAAGATGTGGGCGACGTCACCCGCGCATTTCAGATCGACAGGGTTCTCACCAGCAACACTTTGAACACCGGGGTTTTGAAGAACTTCCAATGTTCGCTTCATTCGCTCATCAATGACAAAGGTGAACAAGAACGGGGAGAGTGGACATCCTTGTAGGATCCCACTTTATGTACGAAAGCTTTTGAAGAGCTGATCATACGCTCACACGTCCAGAAGTATGTGAATACAGGGACCGGGTTATGTTCACAAACGTCTGCGGCATTCTTTATGGAACAAGTGTGGTTAACAGCATTGACTGATCGACGGAATCGAATGCACTTTTGGAGTCAAGGAACACCAAGATTGTGAGAGGTCTGTACATGTGGCGCTGTTCTAACACCCGAATGAGTGAAAATGTGGTCAACAGCCACTACCAGGACGAAATCCATCTTGATGCATACGGATCCAGAATTCGCGTGCCGCCGTAGGATGACGAAGAATCAGTGATGGTAAAAGCCTTGTTACCACGGGAGTCAAGCTGACACAACTACATTCACTGCGACTACCCGGTTCTAAAATGAGGGTCAGCAGTATGGCCAAAACGCTTCAGACGTACTTTACCGTACTTCATAATTTGGCTACAAAACACTCCACAGAGCTGGTACAGACTTGCCTTCCACTGTCCATTACCCTAGCCGTAACTGGCATTTAAATTAACCGGTGGAAACAATTCACCACACAAAATGCGTTATATTTATCAAGAATACGACATAACAGACATGTGGGAGTACATAAAAATCTTTAATCTATATCTGGGAATCTTGTTAACGTTTGCGGATTGTGTTTCCGGCCCAGTCAATTTTGTTAGCATTTTTGAGCATGTTCAATCCGTCCTCGAATGCTTCACGGGTAATCATTCGTTCTGAGCGAGAACGTAGTTCCTCGAGAATACGAGAATAAACAAACGTGAGCACTCTGGGTCGTTCTTCCAACAACGTCCAGATGGCAGCCGCCATCTCCTCGCGGCGCTTGCGCATGCTGCTACTTACACCTGTAGGGTAAGCAAGAAGACTCCGCTTATATTTAGAACCAGTGACTAAACAATAATGCACTGGACACGGGAAACAAAACATATTTAGAAAATGTCGGAGTTTTCGGGGCGGGGACTACAGTCCGCCAGATTTGTGCGTTAACTTCATCTACTACATCACAGTCGGAACCAATACAAGTCCCAGGATACCTAAAACGCCCCTTGGATAAGTGGCGTGTTCGGTGCATGCATGTCTAGCAGCATGACTTTGAACTTTGTGAGTAGAACGCGCATGACAAGGGGTGGAATGACTGGTTAGTCCATCCGAAAACGCCTGTGTCTTCTTCAGCTTCTTCCAGCTGCTACAGCTTTAGCGTGGACATGGAAAATAAATGGGGGGTAGCCACACATTAGGAACGACTGCGTAACTAGTAGACTGATATTGAACTACAGCGCTTTTCTACCAACGTAAGGATTTAGACAGCCATGCAACGACCACGCTTCAATCCGGCAACTGCCTGACCTGTGAATGGGATTGTTTTGTAAATCCCAGCGACCGTTAAGAGGTTCCCACTCAAAGGAGACGGTGGTTACTGAGTTGGCTGGTAAGGGCTTTCATACTTCAATACCCAGTTATCGACCCATCATCTTTAGACCGTTTTCCTCCTGTATTTGATTGGGCGAGAGGTTGTGCAGAGCAAGCGTTCTGATATAAGTAAATAGCCTAACAGATATGATCGCCAGAATATCACTGGCTCGTCTGGCGAGAGCGAATGACGTCTATAGAGTACCACCTGATATGTTTCGACACTGCTGACACCATGTCTCCATTAGATTTGGGACACACGGAGTAAAACCATGAGTAGTCGATTACCTCATATATGTTTCAGAGAGAACCGCACCAAAGACGTGCATGACTACACCCCTGAGAGGTAAAGCGTCACAGTTACGGCGCCACGGTTTCCGAATGTTGGCAAAAGAAACGTTGGCTTTCGCAAATCTACGAATGAATTCATCCACTGTAATTGGTGCAACTTCCGCGAAGCTGCGGTTAGCAACTACCTATTGTGCAAGCACAAGGCTCTATCCCATGTAAGCCTTCAGTAGCAATTCAAACACCGCGTGAATGGGGCTCACCGTCCCAAAGACTAGTGGTTACTTGTAAATGAAGAGAATAACTACACGTACACACTCGAAAGGATGGACGAAAAACGAAATCGCCAATGAGAGAAGGTAAGAGGAGCACTATGGGCCCCGGATAATCAACAGATTGCGGAGCACTTACCTGTAGTTAGGATGTTGACATCGATCGTACCCGTGACTGGATCAATAGCGGCTTGCTTGAGTGCCTCTCGCTGCAAGCGACGCGCTTCACGACAGTCATCTGCAGTCACTTCGTTCGACAAACGAAGACGAGCGTGCGCTTCAGCAAGACGCACGAGAGATTCAAGCTGACGTGGATAGGCGGAGATCTGTCAGATAAAGGACAGAAGTAATGAAAAAAATGGGATGCCGTGAAAAATGAACAACCATGATTAGTTTACTAAGTAATTGTGCTGGGGGTATACTCCTGCATTAGATCTTTTCTACGGACTCAACAAATAGACGGTGGGTTTGCTAATATGCCAGAAATGCCGCAACTCCAACGCATTACACTGATTCGGAAAACCCTATCCATGCATTATTCCGTCCGAGAGTTTTCAGTCACATTTTTCTTCGACCAGTTCGTTTGATACAGACTTTTCCTGCTCTCTCGACTAAATACTGAAGACCTTTATAGGAGCAACAGTTTTCATGCCGTCAAAAGGGTATCACGCAAATTGGTCGCTGATAGCGGTGGCTATCATCCGACGAAGTGCAACTACCCAACCTATAGTAGTTCCACGTGGCTCCATACTTTGAACTTTAGGACTGTGTTGCCGGTTACTACACCTACTGTTCAAACGTGGCCATACTTGCTCTCACCGGGCATCCAAATCCTCAGTTTTTAACACTCATGGTTTGAACAATACGGTCAGTCCACCAGATCTTATCTTCCTATGCTCCATCTATCCTATTCCACAGAAAATCATCGATTATCCGTAACTGCGACCTGACTCGTCGCCCCACCACCGCTTCCGTTTTTGAGAATGGGTTTGTCATCAAATCTTCCTTCCCTTGCTCTTCCCTTAGTTACATCAGCTGACACTTGCGCTCTGGTTTCCCAATTGTAGTGACGCACCTCAACTTGTTTCTGCTGACTGCCAACGGCGGAACAGGTCATGATGCAGTTCTTCGCAATCGTTAGCTTCCTGTACGAATCGAATTTCAGAGTGACAGTGACTCTTAGCAGATCCTACATCCGTTCTTGATTACACATTTCGATTATTTTAACAATTTTTCCATTTGGTTAGTTTTTGTCATCAGCATCCGGTTAATTGCCTTTATTAACTCCCGTTCATCTCACCCCTGAGCCTTCGTGTTACTCCCCCGCTGACTGGGAAGGTGTTAGTTTTCTCATTCCAAGAGAAGCTTGTATTTTGAACAGCATGCAGCAATTCACTCATCTTTCCAATCCCCAGTAAGACGTCCTCCCGTAAATGATTTAACTAAGTCTCTGTATGGTGTACAAAAATGGAGCCGGTAACTACTCCTGCCACTGTCGATATAACCAAAGACATATTCCTCAGACGGAAGGCTGATGAATCCGTTCATTCAAAGAGGTCGATGCCTCTGGAGTCCTGCAAATGCCGTCGGTTATGATTTCAGTAGACCCACCTTAGCCCCCATCCCTGATTCCATGAAGTCATTGAATAACTGCTTCGAAAAAAGGAGAGTTTTGCCTGGCACTTGGTTTCCTGTCCAGCCCCATTTCAGATATATCTGTTCCTTTCTATTCATCAGACTTCGATCATTTGTCCCCATCCGCTATTACCACTAGGAAGGTTCGCCAGCCTCTTCCATTCCTTAATATAACAAAGTCACCCGAGTCATGATCGGACGCTATCCGTTCTGCTCCAGAACTCACCCTCTTGCCTCTCGTTATTCGCTAGCCTTCGAAAACCTTACACACACTCCTCATCCTTTCCTGTCTGAAAAACTAACAGCCACATATTATCCAAGGTACCGGAGTTCAAACAAATCTTATGTGATCTCAAGTGTAACGTCCAATCGGGCGACAACCAATATGGAATTAGGTATCACCGCTCTAACTGCCATGCCATCCGAAAGAAGCACGAGAGCTGAGGTACTACCAGGTTGCCGAAGCCTAGACAGGAGCAGTCGGGATCCCGAGGGTGGCTTCGAAATACGGACCGTCCCGTCAATAAGTCCACTCCTTAATCACTACGCTATCTCGAACTTTAGACTTCGTTTGTAATACTAACTGGTCTTCCAAGACGTTTTGAAAGCTTTTAATCGAACATGACACCGGGGCCTCCCAACCAAACTACCCAAGCACTGCCTGCACTTCTTTTGGTTTGAAGGTTTTCAACGAATCGGCCTTGACGGCGCTAATTTTTACATCCACAGCATCAGCACTGGATTTCCACAAGAGTGCATTCTACCTCCCAACCCTTTTATTCCGTTCACGAGTGATCTACTTTCATCTGCCTCTAGATGCACCCTGCTGACGATACCACCCTCCACAACTCCCATTCGTACAACTCGGACCTTCACGTCTATTCAGCCCTACTAAGTAGGAATCCCTCATCTGCGCATAGTTCTTTGCCTCTTTGTTCATCCTCAAGAACCGAAGGGTTTTGGAAAATCTTACCATTCTGTTTTTCCGGCTCCCTACAGAACTGTTACTCAAGACTCGAGTTGACGCTTACCTGTCCAATCTTAGCAAACAGAAAGTTACACGTGCAATTACTCGTTTTTGGTCTTTTAAACGTTTGGACGTTTTCGTGTTGCCCCTACACCTTTATTACCCTCATAATGGGGCTACGATTACGGGTGTTCCTTTCCGCCGCAATACACTGTGGCAATAAAGAATGACCCCTCGATGTGCCGGGTTTTTACAGCAACCATAAGAGCTACGGAGAGTATTGTGGATCGATAAAAGTTTACTAGAAAATGGGAAGAGACTAGTCGCTCAGTAGCCCGAGGCAAACTAAAAAACTGATGAGTTCCTACCTGACCGCGACCAGAGCCGAGCTTGCGCATCTCCACATATTCACGAACAAGATATTCACCGGCTTCTTCACTCATCTTTGGTTGGTAATTGGTCTGAAACAGATGGAAGTTATACAAAATATAACCCTATGGTTCGCAGGGATTTCTATCCATTGAGAAAAACGGTGCGATTCAAAGGGAAAGTGTAATCGTGTAGTATAGCAGCTTTCGGTGTGCATTGGTCACGTAACCCGAAGAAAGCATGCCAAGACAGTAGCAGACTGGCAAGCCTAGACAGAAGCAATCGAAAAAGAAAAGGTGGTTCTGCACTATAGTAACCCGCGTCTGATGCCGTGACCACTATTGAATGTCATTCCCCCACTTTGCCAGGGGAGAAATCGTACCTAACGCACACCAAAGAACCAACTAGATTGCAATCAAGACGCCGGCCACTCTGTGTAGACGTTCAATCACCAAGATCAACACGGTTCTATAAAAACAGTGCAAACAATATAGGGGATATTCGAGATTAAATTTCGGGCACACGCTTCATCCTTCGTTTTAACTTCGAAAGTGAAAGCAGGAGTTCCTCGGAATCGAAGCGACCATCTTCAAATGATGCACATTCGACAGCAATACACGATATCTCACTTAGGGGGCAGAAAAGGTGAAACGAAATAAGGAAATAAGATTTCGAAATACAACCTAGAGCTAAGGAATTCCAAAGAAAGCGAGTCGAGACGGATGCTAAGATAATGTTTGCTTACAAGGACAAACCTACTCCAACTTCATTGGACATTAATGGATCACGCGAGGAAGGGAAGCCATGTTCCACCAAACAAGACCGCAACCCTATCTATACACGGAAGAATAAATTATCAGACCACATGTTGTACCACAAAATACAGTTTCAATGAATAATACATTTCATGTAACCGAACACTCCTCAGCATACCTTTGGCATGTTGCGTGCTAACTGAACACTGAGCAAAACAATAGCACGAACACACCTTCGCATATGAGATGTAGTCTTTGAGAAAATCAATGTCGATATTGGCCGGATCATTTGACTCATCATCAACTACCTCCATTGGAGCAATTGCCTGACGTGCACCCCGATGACTGCGAGTAGTTGATGTAGTCACATCAGTTGTCCCTGTAGATGAGCCACGATAATACAAGCCAACCAGATGACGTGCCAGCCGCGCGTCAAAGACTTCATCTTGCGGATCCAAAATAAGGAAGATCAAGTCGAATCGAGACAGTAGTGTGTGCGGGAGCTGTGGAAACGGAGGTCAGAAATACAAAACCCAATTAGGTAAAAGTAAAAGAGCCATAGGAAAACAGAGTGACCGCAATAGAGATGGAAACGACTCATGAAGTAGCAGCCAACGCTGACTCGAAGTCGAGTATCTCGCAGTATCTACCAACTACCTGCCGTATTTCGGAAATTTGAGACAACCGATAAATATCCATTTTGATGTCAAACATTTTCAAATTAGATGCATAAGCAAACGACTGTGGCCCGGGGTAAGCTAGCCTGATGCACAACTGGAGGAATATCCGGCTATTTCTGGAATGCAGCCGATTGGGAGCGAGCCAAGTACCGTACAGACGGCAATAAAAACATTCAGAGACTCTGCAAGACATTTGGTATCGGTTACAGTACTATCCTGATCTTCTAACTTGCTTAATCCCGAAGCGACGGCAGGCCTACCTGAATGTTATCGATGATCGTCTTGCTCGGATCCCATTTCGAACCGACAGGGTTCGCTGCGGCCAGAATGGAGGTACGAGCATGCAACTGACAGAGAATTCCCGCTTTCGCGATACTGAGTGTTTGTTGTTCCATAACTTCATGGAGGACGGAACGTGTAGAGTCAGTCATCTTGTCAAACTCATCTATGCAACAAATTCCGTTGTCCGCCAAGACTGTCGAAAAGAGACGGGGACGAAACATTACAACGGGACAGAACACGTAACAAAGACTTCACCTCGGGAATGATTAGCACCAGATTAAATGTGGCATAATGACTTGCAACCCATCGCGTTGAGGTTGCGATCAAAGCAATGGAAAAACGAAGATTGTCTTGCGCTTGTTGCGGTGAGGAAAGTAAAAACATGAAATCTAGCAACTGCAACGTGGTGGACAGAACAGCCAGCTGTCAGAGATTGGAAGATCCGAAAACCTAATTTGACGTTTCGAGATAGAGAACTGAACTCAGACGGGTGAACAACTGACACCAGAATTGGCAGAAACACGTGTGGAGAGAAGAAAAATGAAATTGTATCTCCGTGTTATTCACTTCTGTATGCAATTTTGCATGCTCCAAAAGTTTTATCAAATATGTTAACGTACAGCCCAGTTCCCATAGCGTTTGTTGAATGCTATGTGAATCGTTTGTTAGTGTGCTTATTACAGTAGGTTATTACTGATCCCATGTTTCTCTAAATCTTTTACAGGACCAGGCCTGTGGTTCTTCCTGTTCGATTCACTGTCTGTCAGTTCCCACTGTCCAAACTGCGCATTCCGATTAATGTAAACGTTCATTGGTATGAATCGACCACTCTTTCGAATTATGTGAAGAAGGGAGCTCAAAAGCAAACAAGCGGAATGACTCAGCTAGGCCGGATCCTACACAAGTGGATGGTGGGGGTGGAATACTTATGCCATAGGAAGTAGCAGTTTCTAACTGAAACTATTGAAACCGAAAGGAGTGCGGCAAGAGGTCTCAAAAGACGTGTTCATCAGACTACAGTACATGCTGTTGTTGTACGACTGCGAGACTTGGCCACTTCGGGCGGAGGACCTGAGATAACTTCAGGTCTTTGACCAACGATGTCTCAGAATTATGGTTGGAGTCGATTGTAGCCAACGAATTCGGAATGTGATCATGGGGTGGATTTTAGCTTAAGCAGACGGAGGTGGATGCTACGAAAAATTTGGTCGCTGTTCTCTATTCAGGATGAGTTTCAAGTGACCCTGTCTGTGCTTGGCTAGAGACACTGAACGATATGGCGGCTGATGTCAGTGGCGTTCATGCAGTCAGTTTCTATCAAGAATGTCTAACTGATTGTCGGAAGTGTAGGCACATCGGATGTTTGTGGTAGACTAGCCCTAGGTCTCTCGACCTCCTCCAATTCTTTCTCCTTTCCATTATAAGACTTTATACTCACATAAATTGACATGGCTGTGGGGCAGGCACGGCTGTCGACGATGATGCGGCGGATGGAACATGGTTTGGTAATGCAAAATAAAAGCAGTAATAACTGAATCTGCTCTTGTGTTGCCTGAGGTACATATGTACCTCTTAGTACGCGACTAAAAACTTCAAACGACGTGACAAACAATCGAACTGTGATGACTTTTCCTAGACGGACTGTCCAGCCAATGTCTGTCTGTCGTTATGCGCTGGATTTGTGGCGGATGAGGGTCACAAAAGAAGTTGGTTCAATGGCGCTGATGTAGTCAACTGTTGGGGAGCCTTTATTCATCATCGCCGCGTCATCGGCTAACTGTCTTTGTGTAGTCCTCACACAGCACATGGCCACGCGAACAAGACTCCGGTAGGCAAACCACTTTGCGGTACATGATCTGACTAGCCCAATCTATGACCGGTTTAATGTATCGAGAATAGTTTTCCCTAAAAATCAGCATTACTGTACAAATCAACCACGTTTTAATCCCACAAAGTGATTTAACAGTGCATCCTCTACAGCTGACGGCCAAATAGATATGACGTTGGCGTCACACATGTCGGAGGCTGTCAAACGTCGTCCTGATCTTGCAGATTTAATCATCAGTGGGCTATTCAGAGAGATATGTTTAGCAACTTCGCCGGTTAACCTGAAGGCACAAGGTTCGGGTTTGATGCCATTCGGCCTTGTAGTAAGCAGGCGCGGTGTGCATACCGAACCATTTTGGGAGTTTTTTTCCATCTCAAGGACGATGGTACCCACCAGTCAATCATTAGACTCATTCATTTTTCAGGATGTCGGGCGGAACCCCGCACCCATGCCGCCTTACGGCTCCAAGTTAAGCGATGTTGTGGCCAAGAAGCCTAACCCGCAAGCGAATGGCCAAAAGACCAGACCGCTTGTCGGTCCAGCATCAAGACGAGCTCTGAGTAACTGGACCCAACCGCGTATTCGACAAATGCCGGCTGCCTGTGGCGCTTCCAGAATTTAGTCGCCGCATACGAGGAGGAGCTGCACATCTGTTCTTATCTGATTTTGGGCCTTAATACAAGTCGTGCAATTTTGTTGGTTGTTTTGACGAGTTAGCTTGGGAGGTTCAGGTCGAGAACTAAGCTGAAAAAAACCATCCAACTATAGCACACTTTCGACGCCACCATGCCAACGGAAGAAAGCACGAGAGCTGGGATAGTGCTAGGCTGCCAGTCGAGATGCTGAGGTTGAGTTCAAACCACGGATTATCCGGTCCGTAAGTTGGCGCTTCAACTACTGAGCTATATCGAGCTGAGCAAATACCATCATTACAAGGGATCAGTGTGTATCACCACAGCCCACTGTTTCTAGCGGCGATCCTCCGGCGTCAATAAGAGCTACGGATTTAACATTAACTAGCTGATCACACAAGCGCCTCCGATATTTGGTTATATCCCCCCTGTTATCCCACTTCTCGGTGACCGAAAATGTAGCAAATGGAACCATTGTAGCCTCGGTAAGGGTTTATGGCTGATAAACCGAACTGAATGAAGATGCCCGGAAAGATCATTTCAAAAGAACAGACTCCGCTTTTCTCTCGTCTGGTGCATCGCTTTGGTTCCGAAACCTCTGATCCAACTCAGGTATTTTTGGGATGTAGAGGTATTTTACGGTGCTAAATGGAATGGTATTGTGCCGACCGGAGCACTCCAGAAAGTCCGTGTGGATCAGAAAAAGCAGCTAACTGGCATGGGATAACAGACGGCATGCAACGTCAATGTAATCTATCGCAACTCACCCAGAGCACCCGTCTGTAAGGTGAGCTGCCGTGTCTCTGGGTCTTTTGTGACGAAAGCAGTTAGACCAACTGCAGAACTGCCCTTTCCGGAAGTATATTGTCCTCGAGGGGTGAGACGGTAGACATATTGTAAAAGTTGAGACTTTGAGGTTCCAGGATCACCACAGAGGAGAATATTGATCTCCGAGCGAAACTCTCCACGACCTTTGGAAGAAAAATCTTTCCGAGTTCCTCCAAAAAGCTGAATAGATGTGATTGGACGTGAGGATAGGCCACGATTATTTCAGGCACGCAAGATTATGGTATTAGTTTTGTCCATCTGGTGCTCTAACGACCAGAGAAAGAAAATGAAGCATTTCTCTATTCTAGTCACGTGATGGTGGGACCTGATGATTAGAAGACTACAGGGCAATTAACACAATTCCACAGGGCGCAACAGTGTGCACCGGGGGGAGAGGAGTAAACTGAACACTGACTATCTGGCGGAAAATCACAATTACTGGACTGCGACCAGTTATATTTGATAAGATAAAGAGATAAAATGTGACCTAGTAATATCGGAAATCGAATAGACTTGCACAGCAGCTATTACTAACACTAAGACCACCAGGTAGCTGTGGTTGGTGCACTCATACAGATTGAAAAACAGACCGAGCGCAAACGTACGGATACAGATAAGTGAAACTGGTATACACATGACAGCACATATACAAGACCACCAACCGTACACCGGATGGAGGGAATCCTAAGGCCAGTGGTGCGACGCCACATGCACTCCCGCACTTAACAGGTCGCACGACTGACTAAGAAACAATGGGCAGCAGTAACAAAAGCTTGACATATAGGGTATGTAGTGCAGTCAACAGCACACGCCCGTCCGGTCATAGTGCCCTATTACAGTTTCAACAGGGATGGTACTTGGACGTGAGCCAGCTAGTAAAACAGAAACCATGATTTCTCCAGATAGACCAAAAGCATTAAAGTGTTTTCAGCCGGGAATAAAATGCCTCTTGGACAGCTCTCGGGTGCGTGTGCACGATGGGAGGATAGTATTGACGTTAACAGTAAACTTCACGGACCCCAGTGTTGTGCTTCTTATCTGATAAGACTGAGTGACACTTTTCACCAGATACGGCTGCAGCCCAAACCCTCACCGTGCGACTAACGTGTTTCTCTCTTCATTAATTCTATGTTACTCCCGGAGTCCTGGAATGTCCACAAGGAACTTTTTAGTAACACCAGAATTCTGTTCTCTAGTTTGCGTTTTAGATAGGATTCGTAAAAAATCGATGGATTTCCAACGATTGTTTACAAAATCTCACTGAAACGATGACTGCCCAATCGGTTCATAACATTTACCAGTTGATTGTTCTCTAGTTCATTAATCTGGTGAATATAACACATGTGGATTACAAAGGAATGAAGGAACCATTGTCAGAGAATTAATATTTTAAATGAACTTATCTTTGACTCTGTTGATGAACAAGTATTATATGCATCGCGCGTGGAGGGGCTGGGGTGCATCCGCCAAGGCAACCATCCGGGGGGATTAATGTTTTCCTTGTTTTTGCCGTCAGGTGGGATAGTCGTAAATTATTCCGCAAAAACTGAGGGATCCCCGAAAAACTAATTTCATGGATGATTGCTAAACACTGACCTATATCGCCTACCAGTTTTACTGCTTGGATGTGACCCAATCCAAGATATCCAAATGTCGCAGATTCGAAAAGGATTTCAGTTTTTCAATATCTTAATGTACTAACAAAAGCACCACGTACAAGTGACAAAAGAATGGAAAAGCTGTCGTTCCGACCAACCGATTTCGGATACGAGATAGGGGAGGCACATCTTTCCGATACATATGAGTACCGGTACGACCCACATAACGGTGCTACATGTGTTACTTGATATCTAAGATATGAGGATATCTGCTCACTCAAAACTTAAGAATTTCTAAACAGACGTTCTAAGTGAAACCGCGTTAGTATACACACTTGTTAGGCAGCGTGTGGTCAATCCGGCAACTAGGCTGATGGTTTCTTAGATGGTTACTTAGATGGTTACTGCGGGTCATGTTCCCCGAATACGGGAAGGATCTGCAACAGGAAACCGACTTCTTAACCATGAGGAAGGATAAATTACAGCATCTAAAGGTGATGCCTATGGCTCCTAATTATTCGCTTGCTGCTTAACCTGTTTATTTGACCTCCAGAAAGCTCACTGGCGCAAAGTTACTGAATTGAAGGTTCACCATTTGAATCCAACCTTTGCATATCGACCGCTCCCGCCTAGGATTGACAGTATGTCAAACCCCATGTGCTTCCATCAGGTGGCATGGCAGCAATGAATCGAAGGGTGCTACAGCCGAACTATTATTACTAAGCTGTTTCTCTGGGTATTACCACTGAACATCATGTCCTTGCCTGCTAGTCACTAATTCCTAAAATGGTTAAACCGCGCCCTAACTAAAAGTGTGACACCCGCTTGAGTCCTACCGAGCAGTGCTGTCTCCCTGTGGTAAGTAAACAAGCTGGGGATTAGCACTACGCCGCTATGAACTGTATCGCAAATATGACAAGTCAGATTTTGATATGCCCATATGCGCATTGACTTCTAACCTTGTACTTCTCAAATGTAGAGAATTAGTGAGTTTCCTTGATGGGCTGTAAGTGGAACATGCTCAAGATATCAGCATGGCACCGATGGTTGTGCCCATGATGCTTGTTCCTCCATTACCCTCCGTTATCTTTACTTCATTCTCTTTGTGAGCAGCCTGTTTTTATTTATTAGGACCAAACTGCAACTACATCGATGCATTACTTGGGTTCGTGCTTGACTATCCCATGTCCACATAGTTAGTATGGACGTATTGCTCATCAACGACCGACAGTAAATCTAAAAAGTTTCGTTTGTACTTAAAAGAAACGTTCATTTAGGACTGAGAAAGTTGTAATACTCCAAACATGAGTGAATTTGGAGAGCTCCTATCTAGCGAAGTTCATGCAACTTCAGACCGCAACGTGAAACCTCATAGAGCCAATTCAAAATAAACGAGAGAAGTCCCCTTTGCGCCTAAGAAACGTTGCCCAGCTATAAATCTACCGATTGTCACCAAACTTTTAAAAAAGATCATAAACGAGAGAAGTCCCCTTTGCGCCTAAGAAACGTTGCCCAGCTATAAATCTACCGATTGTCACCAAACTTTTTTCGAAAAAAAGATCTAAAAAGGCTTTGGAAACATCAGACTTATTAAACCCAACAAACGGTCGGATTTCCAAATGCGATCAGGCTGGAGCCGAAGTGGGTTTGAATAAGTGGGAATTACCTCTCCTTCAACAAGTTAACAATTATGAAACATTAAGCATTACCAGTGCCTTACCTGTAGCAAAATTCCTTTCTTCACATCCTCGTTTTCGTAAATTGTCGGTGCGATAGCAGCCGCCAACCGCTCATACAGATCTGGCTTTCGAGCAAGTGTTTGAAATTCCTGTATCCGTTCCTCCCGAAACTGACGAAGGGAACCCTGCTTAACGTAAGCGTCATGATCGGCGACTGATCTGTCTGAATGCAGCTGGTCACTTTCAATGCTGAAATGTAACGTTAACAGAGGGTAATGGAAAGGTAAGGTTTTACCTATTAATTATGATCCATACTTCATAGATAGGGCCTGTTGTTGCACAATTGACTCCATTAAGGGTATCCGTAACACCGTTAGCAGAAGAGTGACTGGCTTGCGTCTAACCGGGCTAGTAAGAGTCTGGTCAGCGCTGGTCAAACTGCATGCGATCTGGTTCATACTAAGGTTCTATGGATGTAAACTGTGATCACCATGTTCAGCAAATGTTATCAACTTTAAATAATACCAAAATAACTGAGTCAATAAGTGATCAAGCAACCAAGGCTGGTTCAGCGTTCGGATTCATGCCGTCTGCCAAACCGGTTTTGTATAGCCTATCTACAATGACAGACATGCAGGTGACGGATTTCCGGGAGTTATTCAGGTTAGCGTGTAGTGTGTCATAATTTGATAGTAACAGTTTTTACGGACAGGGTGCCAAGAAAGACCATACTCCGAATGAGGAAAATGGTAATAACATCCCCATAATGGATTATGGAGCAATAAGGTGAAGAGAAAGCCACGTACACAAAGTGTAAGACGTCCACGTATGTTTTGTAAACTGCCTTTAAGGTACGTTGGCGATTCGACATACGCAACGGAACGGCACGATAGATACCAGTAACCATCACACGATCACCCGGCTTCACCTTGTCTACCAGATCTTCGTGGGCGTAGAGCGAAACAGTGTGCGGGGTTTGACTGGCAGGCATATTCTCAGGAGATTCCTGAAACAAAACATCTGAAGTCAGAAAACGTATTTCGCAACAAAGGACTGTTCTCAGAGTCAAAAATACTAAACATACTTGAAGTTTTATCATTTGTTTGTCGACAAACAAACAGCGGTTATGCTGAAGCTGGCATGTATGAGCTGAATGACACCGTGAACAGGCTTCCGGTTCCGTCAGGCAACCACGCTCACAGGGGACTGATGTCATAGCCCCACAAACGGCGCATTTGAATTCGGCTCGCATCATTTCGGGGATGAGGGAAGATAACCGAATAACTAATCCCGAGACACTGACAAGTTGATCAAGATCATCTGGATCCAAACTGCGTAGATTGCGAGCCTGTGCGCAGTTGAATGGTCTGATCTGTGGAACAAACAAACACAAGTTATTACTACTAAGGCAAGCTGGTGATGTACTAGCAACACTAGTTAACGCAATACAAATAAACAGCAACAAAGGCATACTGACTACTGATGTACACATAACTCCATAAAAGCAGATGGTCTACATATTGAATAAAGACTAGTAATTGAAAACGACCCCCAAACAACTCTGTGATCCACTCAAATGGCCAAGAGATGAAGACAAGTTACGAAAAAGATGAAACAGCGATTCACTCGCAGAATAGCTCGCGGTGGAACAGCCCAGCTGGCTTTCACTAACACCAGCAGAGGAGGCAGTCGTCAAACCTGAAAGGGTCAACATCAGCCCCCTCATAGGCGGTATAAATTCCGCACGATATATCGTTGCTCCAACCCATTAAAGTGTCTGGTTTGGACGGCTTGTATCCTGCAATTTTCAAAGCACTCGTGAGTGACCTGAAGATCCTACCACAGCTGATTTGGAAGGAAAACAGAATACCTGTGTAAAATGGGGTCCTTTGGCGGCGATTCCAAACGTCACAGGCAAGACCATGCGAGAAACATCGTGGCATCAGCCTGGGACCAAATGACCAGGTGAAAAATTCTACTTCCCTACTAATGTGGTGGCGGTGTTGATGGCAATGTTAGACCACCTCTGGATAAACGATATGAGGCGCATGAATATCGGGGGGAGGGACGCGTGACTGTGGTAACAAGTAACTCGAAGTGGAACCCTAAGATAAATTTAATGACTTACTTGAATTGAACGCTCAAGCTGTGCATCACGGAATCGATCCAAAAATAATGCGTTTGTTGCTGCATCACACGCTGGGATCACCTCCTTCGGGAATGTTATCAACTGAGTGTAGAGCTGAGGGTGGGCCTGTCGAAGATGTTCACAGTCGATATCTAGATGCGTTTGACCAGAGATGGACAGATCTTCGAGTAGCTGCAAATAGAGCGGCCGTACTGGGTCCAGGGGTCGACCTGTGGTTAGGGTGAGATGCTCTATAGGCGCACTAGGGACAAAGGTCAACAAGAAGTGTTTGAACTGAGACATCACACGAGCGATATTCACGTCCGTGCCCCAAATAACCGTCTGGAAGAATAAGATGAAAGTGGAATAGAATTTAATCACCATGCTTACAAAAATGGTCAGGCAACGACAAGCAATGAGTCGGTAAAATAGTGAGTCAGAAAATAGCAAACCGCAACAAGGGACATATAACTGAGGGCATACAGATAACATATCACACAAAGCTGTCGTAGGAAAAAAACATGAAGATACCAAAATGACATACCTGAGGACCACTAAGAGATGATGTTTCTGTCGTACCAACAAGGCCTTCGGTGGCCACGAGTGGTCCAGACTGCGACAAGACCGCACGCATCGCCGCTTCGTCATTGACACCTGGCCGAACGGAACTCAATCCATCGCCCCCAGTTGCCACGCTGGACATATCACTATATGATAGAGGGCTTCCTGGCTCCACTTCTGACGTTCGTAAACCAGATCTTGGATCCTGTGAGCACACAAGAAAGAAGTAGTTAGGGGGCACTGTGCACAGAAAATTCGAGTGCTTTCAGCAGTATATAAAAAAGTCCGAGTGGACCAGTAGGCTGATGATTCAAGGAGTTCGTGGAGCCATACGAAGCGTAGTAGAAAAGCAAGAACAGCCTGGAATCATCAACAGGGTCGCGCAAACTTATTCTTCACAGCACCGTAACACTATCTGATATGTTACGTCAGTTCACCAGGCACCTGTGCATGTGAGAACTACAAAAGCTTACAATGCTTCCGCTGGGTTCTGCGGCATCTCCTGGAGCTTCTGAGCGCTGAACCGATGTAGAGGTACTTTCAACAGCATTTTCAGTCGAGTCTTCAAACACGTCTGAAGAAGCACCAGATCGATTTCGCGTCCTCCTCCTTGAACTCCGGCTACTTCGGGTTGACATTTTCCGATGGCTCCTAGGGAGCTACAGGACCTGCAAATAGGAAATATCATACGGCTAAGAGCACGATCATGGAAAAAGATGCGCTCCGGAGTTACTTTTCAGAGAAAGACCGTGGATACAGAACATGAATATGTTTCACTGAGAGCACAATTAACAACCAATGGTAGTAAAAAGTAAACAAGAGCACCTCGATGGGCCAAATATTTCAATTACTGTGGCCAAAATACGCCACTCATCTGGAGCCCACAGCTGAAGTAAAGCCCTGAACGAGCGACCTATGGCATCGTAACCCTATTACTGCATGTGTTCTCACAAGCACCACCCAGATTCTGGTCCGGATGACCTCCCACTCGCATTGTTCAGATGGTGGTGAAGTTCTCAGTCAGCACTTGTCTGATCTGTTTGTCTGCGTTTGTGAAAAAAGGACTATCCCGGACAACTCAGGGGGGTCGGTGATAGTGTCCCTTTGTGTCCACAGGGGGGTCAGCTTAACCCAGATTGTAATGAGACTACTGGTGCCACTTGTGCTTCGTCGCCTTATGACTTGTAAGGGGTTTCGACCTGATGGTGGCTGTTTTGACTGACTATTCACACTCCATCAAGTGCTAGAACGTCATACATACCAACGACCCATAATTTTAGTATTCCTGGATTCCAAAGACGCATTCGAATCGGTTGACCTGCCTAGTCTCCTTGACACACTTGCCCATCAAGGAAAGCCCCGGAAACTTGTGAACAAAGTACGTTTGTTGTAGTATCAGACTTCCGGACTTGTGAAAGTATTCGGAGAGCTTCCCAAAAGCTTCCGCACACAAGGGGATGTCAATCAGGAATGAACACTTTCTGCATTCATGTTCAACTTCGCGATTGGTGAAGCCATGAGACGAACGCTGGAAGGTCTCCAAATCCCCGGTGTTCAAGTAGCTTGTGATAGCCTGGAATACGCAGACAGTATCGTTCTCGTCTTCGAAGAGAAGACACAGATGTTTTTGGATGAACCGAACGAAGTCATCCTGTCGTTTGGTATGCACTTCGCATCCACAAAGTACGAGGTCATGCTCGCGGCCATAGAGTCACTGAACACGCCACTTACGATCCAGGGGGAGGTACCGGGAGTTATGGAGCGTTTTACGTATCTTGGAGGCTGTGAGTTCTGATTGTAGTGTGACAGATGAGAGCAATACACGAATCTGCAAGGCCCGGGTCGCGTGTGCTAATTTGAGACACCTATGGCGTCAGAGTGGTTTATCCCTGAATCGTAAGGGACGTGTGCATCAAGCAACAGCGCGGGCTGCTTTGTTGTGTGGCTGTCATGATTTTCGTGTGCCTATCATTATACTTGCCATATACACTCGTAATGAACCTTTGTATGTGCATTTCAGCTCATCCACGCCTGTTCTTAGACAAATAAAACGTCGCTTATCCTCGAAAACCTGGACTCCGTTCTAACTCGTTCTCGGACACATTCTAAACGTCTCAATTTGCTTGTCTAAAAACACAATGGACCTACAACTACGACTTCGGTTCTTCGACGCTGACTCAAACTACGCAGATGCAGCAAAATGATGGAATCACTGGTTCCGTACCTCCAAAACCTATCTGAAAACTGTCGAATCTTCTAAACCGGAAAAACTTGAGCTTTCATCCACTTCGTGGACCCGTTAACATACGATCACATTGCTGATCACATCGGCTATGAATCTGTAATCGACACGTTACGGAAATTATATGTCCGTCCGAAAAATGTCATATATGCACTCTACCTGCTGCAGACCTACAATCAGGAAAACGGACAGGATATTGATCAGTTCGTACGAAAACTGAAATCATTAGCCAAAGACTGAGTTTAAATCTGTATCTGCAACTGAGGATCAAGACGAGTGTGTGCGTGATGCTATAATTAACGGCCTGGCATCCACGTCCAACCGCGAGGAACTTCTAACACAGAGCGAACTCACTCTGGACAAAGCATGTCAGCTTGCTAGACGCCTCGAACTGGCTCACAAACAGTAACAGTCATCTGTTAGTAACGAACCCATATCCTGCTCTGCGATTCCACCCATTTCACAGAATACCGAAATGCGTGTCAATCCAACCACTGCTGCTGTAAAATCCAGTCAAACACCCTATGGTACAGGCTATGATACACATCCTCGTCTAAAGTTCCCCGCTTAAGAAACTGTCGGTAATCCTTGTGGTAAACGCGGTCCCTTCCGTCGCGCGCGCCGTTCAAAAAATACCACCAAGTTCCACACAAGTTGTACAACAACAAGTTGTACACAAGTTGTACTTTATCGTCATCATTCGTTTCAGCAGCTCCTACATGCCTGACACATGCCATCGCAACCATTGAAGTCAATGGCATCGCTCTCCATGCTCCGGTCGATACACGGAGTTATTGTATTTTCATTAGGGCTAACGTCGTGAAACTGCATAGTTGGAAAATTTACCCAACTTTCTCAGTCGTCACAATGGCGTCTACATCCCAGCTTGTCGAACGACTGGTTACGCTTGTGTTTCTATCCGATACAGAGATACTTCATACACTGAACTGAACTGAAGCTCTTCGTAATGCCAAACCTCGGAACCGACGTCTTACTTGGGCACGACTTTCTAGGTCTACATGGCAAGGTAGAAATTTCCTTCGGTGGGGATCGTGATGCGTTCACTGTCTGCAACCTAACGGCTGTAAACGTTGAATCATCATCACTTTCGCCAACTTGTCTCCAGATTGCACGCCTGCTGCAACCAAATAAAGGCATTATCCGGATGATGAAAAATTCATTCGCGCCGAAGTTGACCGCTTATTGCAAGAGGGAATCAATGAACGATCAGCGCCTCCCTGGAGAATGCAGGTTTTGGTTACCAAGAATGTCAATTACAAACGCCGGATGGTTGTTGACCACAGCCAGACTATTAACCGGTTCACATATCTGGACGCTTACCGTCTGGTACGCTTGGACGAAATGACTGAGGAAATTTCGCACTACGAGGTCTGCACTACATTAGACCTCCTGTCTGCTTACCATCAAGTTCTCATCTCTGCATCCGACAAACCTTTTACAGCACTCGAAGCGCGTGGTGGCCTGCTTCAGTTTTGTCGCAAACGGTGTTGCGTGTTTTCAGCGAACTAATAACAATATCATTACGAATAAAAAGCTGAAAAGCACGTAGGCCTACATAGACAATGTGAATATTTGTGGTAATACCCAAGATGAATACGACCTCAATCTCCAATCATTTATAGGAGCTACGAGGAAGTATGGGATCACGCTAAACGATGACAAAACCGTCATTGTTTCAAAAGTCATCCGCCTCCTAGGTTATGAGATCTCAAAGGGTGTCACAAGGCCATACCCTGAACGCACGGAACCTATACGTCAGTTATCTCCTCCACGTACTATCACGGAAATGCAATGCGCCCTCATTGTGTTAGCATATTACGCCCATTGGATATCTTCATTTTCTGACAAAATTAACAAATTGGTGCGAGATGGTTCAATTGGTTAGAGCGCGAATTTACTGACCGGAAGGTCCGTGGTTCGAATCCGACCACCTGTCCAGGCTTGGGCCACCTGGCAGTATCCTAGCCCTCGTGCTTCCTTTGGGTGGCATGGCAGCTAGGCACCGGAAGGGCGCCACAGCTGAAAGCTTTTTTTAAAGAATAAAACATTCCCTCTACCTACCGACGTCGAATTAGCCTTTGACAAACTAAAAAAACGAACTAGAACATGCTGTGCCAATTACAATAGATTATAACGAGCCTCTGGTTGTTGAAACGGATGCCTCCAATGTGGCTATAGCTGCATCTCTCAGTCAAAACCATTGACCGGTGGCGTTTTTCTCGAGGACACTCAATTCAAGCGAGAAGAATCATTCTGTCATCGAGAAGAAGGCCCACGCTATCGTCGAATCCATCAGGAAATGTCGGAAGACCCTTCAAACTGATCACCGATCAGCGTTTAGTCACATTCATGTGCGGTGGTGGACAGAAGGATAAAGCGAAAAATGACAAGAGACAACGCTGGAGGATTGAGTTGTCCGAGTACAAGTATGATGTCATATAGTGACCTGGCAAGGACAGTCATATCGCACTGTCACGAAACGCATGTGCTTCTATGAGGAGCAATAACCAACTCGGAGACCTCCATAACTCCGTCTGCCATCCCGGCATTACCCTTATGTTTCATTTTATGCGAACTGAAGCCAAGATTCTGGAAATCCTCTGGTAGACTCATTAAACCAACACAACCTTTTGAACTCGAGTTTGGAATTTAAAGGTCCCTTGCCATCTAATACACGCAACCGCTACTTACTCATAATAATTGACGGGTTCTCCAGATTCCCATTTGCATTGGCATGTGCGGATATAACCTCGGCAATTGTGACTGACTGTCTCACACAAATCTTCTATCTGTTCGGAATGCCAGCCTATATACATTCCGACAGAGGTTTATCGTTCATGTCGTCTGAGATCAATAGCTTTCTTCTGGAGGAAGGTGTTTCTGAGCCATTCATCGGCTTATAATCCACAGTGTAACGGTCAAGTTGAGTGTCTCAGCGGTACCCTCTGGAAATCTCACAGTCTTCCGCTTTCCCACTGGGGATCGGTACTCCCTGATGACCTACACATCCTCCGATTACTGTTATGTACGGTCACTGTACTCCAGACAGACGCTTGTTTCAACACGTATGTCGCCCAACATTAGGAGTATCGTTGCCATCTTGGTTGACCACCCGTGGTTCAGTTCTGCTGCAACGAGCTGATAAGTCATCTAAGTACCAACCACTAGAAGAAGTCAACCTTCTGAACTGCAACCCAGACTACGCACATATTGCCCTCGTGCTTCCCTTTGTTTGCATGGCAGCTAGGCACCGAAAGGGTGTTACAGCTGAACGATTGATTGATTGACTTTGTGGACCAGTGATGCTGAAAATGGTCTAAACGAAATTCCAAGGAAGACTGAAGGAATTTGGCCCCCACCTATTTTTTGTAGGCTTTCTTAAATACACATGGAATTTGTAAACAATGGACACTTTAGACAGGGAATATAAATGAAAGCATGGGTAAAGATGAGATGCACTCGGTGCCGGAGAAGGATGATGGGCTACGTCGAGTAAATGACATGGGCACTCACAAACCTCGGCACAGAATTAGTTGTTCCATGTGCAAAGTAATGCTACAGAATCTGTAGGTACCGGAAACTATCCCTCATTGTCAGTAACGTGACGCCGTACTCTGAGAACACTTCGGTTCAATGGAATGAAAACCCAAAAGATTGCTAACATCATCATCACCTCACCCCTTAGCGATTCGATGACTCCACCTCCTGCTAACAGACGACCGTTGACAGGTGCTTACTTTTCTGACAGCATAAAACCAGCCGGAGCAGCGTTTGCCCCATTGGAACGCTCGGATGTCCCTTTAGCTGCACACAAGTAGCTATAATTTCGGATTATCGGCGCAAGAGATGTCGGTGCTATGGCCACTTGGGGCCTTATTAACGTATGGGCAGGAAAGCACTTGATAGAAGACAACCAAGGATCTTACCGATTTTCTTCCGCATACACTTATACTGAAATCACGAGCCTAAACATAGAACCGTGACTTGCAAAAGAAATCCGCTATCTAGGAAGTCATGATGTGAGAGCGCATCAAGCAGGATGTCGTGACCGGAATAAATCCTACTCTGGCTTGAGGTAGCCCGGCGGTTAACGCACAAACTTACTGATTGCGAGGTTCTGGTTCGAAGCTGGCATCTCAGCCATTAAGATTCCTCTAAGTGGTATGACAGCTAAGCGCCAACATCGTTTTGCAGCTGAACGATTATTGTTACCACTATTCAGACATCACGGATTATATCGTTATCCAGATCCACAGAATCTGTGGCGTAAGGAAAGACCAAAAGCTTTGGTGGATATCAAAAGCCCAGAAGACACAAAAGGCTTTTGCTAACAGAAACAGCCATGCTCCATACCAATTCATAAAATCAACTGGCCATAGGAAAGCGACGGTTAGCGCAACGATAAGCGTGAGTCCATTAATTCACTCGCAATAACGCCGACTGGAAAGACGGGCCGAACATTTCGAACAGTTTAGCTGACCTCCTGCAACACGGTCTCTGGAGGTAGCGCGTTCCGGCGAAATAAATGTAAACATTATTCGCGGAAGAAACAAAGTACGAAATATCTGTACTTAATCGTGGGGAGACGCCACGACCCGATGGTCTGTATCCAGCCCTGTTCAAAGGCACAGAATTCCTGGTGGTCCATCTGACAAGTTTATTAGGGCGACGTGGGGCAAAGAGAAAGTGCCAGCAGAATAGGGCATGCTGACAGTTAGTCTTATCCCCAAAAAGGGTAAGTGGACGTTGCTGGAAAATTATCGTAGTATCAGCCTGGTAGCTGTGACATCGAAGGTGCATCAGAAGTCTTATCATTTGGAAGCTGACTGAACTCAGAGAGAGACATACCCGTGAAAACCAAGCTGGATTCCGTCGTGCAAGAGGATGCACCAAAATTTCACCCTCTGGAAGTGACACTGCTTCCGGTAACCAACGGCATTTCTCTGGGGACCGTCAGGCAATATGGCATAGTCTGTGGAGCAAGTGTCTCAATAAATTCTTGACCTCCCGCAAGGCGCTGCATGCGAACTCCCGCAGGAGTCTGAATGTTTGCAAGTTCAACGATTCCTAATCGACCGGCATCCGTGGGTGGCAAAACTCGACCATGTGCACACCCACGTCATGTTTTAAACTGGTCAGTTGGCCTAGATCCCAAGTGCTCTGAGCAGACGGGTACGATCAGATCCAACGCAGTCTAATTCTCCCAGTTCACCACACTCTACCGCAGCCGGAGACATCATTACGGACGTCACCCAATCTGTGACTTCCCGGTAAACACAACACCAGTGGCGATGCGTTTCCAGATCACAAATGGACTATACTTGGGTGTAGATGGCGTCAAGTCATATTCAAATATTCTCCCGGAGGACTTCCTTTTAGTCATTCCACCTCCTACGGGAAGCCAGTGATCCACATACTTTCCTTACTTTCGGCATGCTCTGGGATAGAGATAATAAAGATAATAACGGTCTTTCAGCCGTTACACCATTTCGGTGCCTAGCTGGCATATCACACAAAGGAAGCACGAGGGCTGAGACACTGCCAGCTTTTCCAAGACTAGACAGAAGTTGAGAGACAAAGGCCGGGCTAGATTACAATCCAAACATTGCTAATTGCAAGACACGTTACTGGTAAGGAGAAATGCTACATCATTGATTCCTCTGGTGATAGAATACATGCCAGTGTTCTTCGCCACAAGCACTTCGCAGTCAGCAGTCTACCTATCAGCGCGTATGAATGGTTTTCCCACACGGCTTCAGTTGGAACCGACTTAAGTGGGTAGATATTGGCGGAGAAAACTGGTGTGTAAAGATGGTGAACGCTGCAATCCGGAATCTGAAACTCGAGTGTAAAGCCCTCATAGAACCGAGAGTGCAGACTCCCCAATAGCGAAACAAAACTGCCGCGGTTTTCACAGACCGCGCATTTCTGAATGTAATGAACAAAACACCATGGACCCGGGTCCTTTAAGTTCAATATGGTTACTGTACGTTACCACATGAGAGCTCACTGATTCGCATCGACTCATGGTCAAACGCATGCCACATGTGAAAAAATTGGATTTGCTGCCTGTAAACGAGAAAGTAGATAACATGCCATGAGGGCGCTGAGTTCAGTTTTGACATATCGGCGCTTCGATCTTGATAAGGATCCGTGTATACACAGTCTATGCACTTTTCTACAGAACTGTAGTGTCAAACAAAAAACTTTCGGTGAAAATTCTGCATTTTTCTATTACATTATCAAACCGAAAACACGTTGAACTAGAATTGATTTCCGTAAATACCCATTCGAAATTTTTGGCGCGCATGCAACTATATAATTGCTCTCTTACCACTAAACAAATTGCGGGCGTGATTCAAATATACTTGTATATAAGTTGCCATTCGTCTTGTCTTCAGCTTTCATTTCGTTCTAGAAAGAGTTAACTGAACTCGTGATGGATAACTGATGTGAAAGAAACGCCGACATTGCTTTGCTTCACGAGTGGGTACAGTACAAATACAGCAGGTGGCCGCCGAAGTCATGCGAATATCAAGGAGTCGATAGAAGCTTGCGAACCAATCAAATTCGCCAATAATAAACAGTACAAGAAACATCTGTAGTCAAATAGTGCTTTGGTTCTAATGAGAAACGGAAACCGCACTGCTCTTTATGTTCTCAGCGCGGGGCAGCATGCTTGCCAGCGCGGGGATTCGCGTAAATAAATGTCTAATAGTGCTTTAAATTGGGTTCTAGAAGGAGCGTGGACAACCGTCGGAGGAAGGTCATTCCACGCAGCTACTGCCCGAAATGAGAAACAATTTTGTCTAATGATTGTGTGTGCTCTGAGCTAGAAATTTTTCTTACTATGTCCCCGCCATGTGTTTGCTGGGTCAACGGTGAAAAACCTGTTTGCCAAGCTTTGTTCAAACAGGGCATAAGTAAGAATTAGGTCCCCTCGGAGGCGACGGTACTATAGGGGAAAGAGATCAAGCATCGCGAGACGCGTTTCGTAGTTCACGGATTTGAGGCCGGCAACCATTCTCGTAGCAGCCCGCTGGACACGCTCAATGAGGGTGACGTCTTTCGTGCGTCCTGAGTAGAAAACTTGGCTGGTGTACTCCAGGAGTGGTCTGAGGTAGACCCCATAGAGTATTTGGACGTCCATGCGAGTAATACGGGAGAAGGTGCGTTGGATCATCCGTAAAATGGCGAATGCCTTTTGGGCCGATTTCTCATGGTGCAGTGAGAAGGACAAGTTTGAGGAGACCCAGATGCCCAAATCCTTTTTTGTATCTAGCCTCATGATATTCTCTGGTCCCTTTTCACCATACACTCTGCGATGTCCTCACAACGCCCAAGAATTCTCTCACAGAATGTGGGTCGATGGTTAATCGCCTGGTCAATTTGAGGAGAGGAACATATGTGGCAACTTGCTCTGTGAAGATGACAGTACGTTTGAATTTATCAAGGAACACCGCTGCCAGTCAGCCACGCTTTCGACGCTAAAGCTTTGGTTGAGTGCCATAATTATTATCCCAAATTTACGGTCTCCCATTACGTGCTAAGCAGGTCCCTTAATTTTGATTCCCCTGGCAGTATCGTTGCGAAGAGTAGTGATCTCATCTTTCCTTAATTTCGCATCTATCCTGCAAGCTGGGAAAACCTATAACCTATGCTTCTCCGCCGAAATATTCATTGCGTTTAGGCAGTAACAGTAATGGGATAACCTCGGCAGTGTTAGATAATGCAAACTTGTTTC